AAAAAAAAAAAAAAAAAAAGATTCAATAAAGACAATTTTTTTTTGCAAGCATAATTCCAGGTAGAATTTCAAAGGACAACTGTACTGAGTGAAAAGTAATCTTTCATAATTAATATGAATATACATAATAAAAGTGAGTACACAATTTAGGCATACATGCTTTTTTGCCAATTTTAGGCTCTCCAATTATGAAAAAAGTACACAACCGAACAAGAAGAGTCACCCGGCCATGAGGCCAAATCATTCTTATTGGAGTTGTAGGAGGACCTTCCTGGTTTTGGCCCCTGCAAGAAGCAAATTCTCCCTCAACAACGAGAGCAGCCACTACTTGAGTGCTACAGACACGACTGTTCAGAGGGCTTTACTCTATCATACAAGTACGGCATCTTTCCCAAAGAACAGTGCTAGCAACAGGGCTAAGTGAAGAGTATTAATGGCTTAAGTCTGCCAAATGCTTACTTCTATAGCAGTATAAATATGGATTATTAAAGTTGTCTACTCAAGTATAAAGTCTATGCAAAACTCTCATAATATAGGCAAAATGTTCAAAGGCTAAGAAAAACATTTTCTTTTTCTTTTACAAGAAAGTGCAACTGCAGGGTCTCTTGAATGATCTTCTAGATAGTTCTGCAGAAAACTCAGCAGTTTGGCTCAGAAAGTAGAGTTCCTCACGAGGAATTAAAGTTCTTCCTAGAAGAATATAAAGCAAAATTTCAGGCAGCTTTCTGAAAATGAACCGTTAGTTTATGGCTACACAATGAGACAAACAGGAAATTGCAATAAAGGCTTTCGCATGTGCTGTGGTTTGCATGGGACTTGACAGAGCTTTTCCCCTTGTTCCAGACACCGGCCGGTTCGTAACGCCAGACGCGGCACTTACAGAGCTCTGTCCAACTCTGCAGCAGGCGGGACACTAATCAACCGGGAGAAAATCACAAGTATTTTCATGTGTTTCAGTGTTTTTCAGGTCATATCTCAATGCTTTCAATAAATCATTAAAAAATATAACATTTCCTCTGTTATTTTACATAGTTATGGATATTCAGAATGAGGAGAACTTTTTAACCGTCATCAGTGAGACTTTCTGTCTCAGTCAGATTTTCAGCATTTGTTCGGCTGCAGCTAGATGGTAAAGGAAGTTTTCCGTTGCTGGTGGAAATCGTTTTTGCTTTAATGCCTCCAAATTGAGGACTCGCTTTCCTCCATCATCCACAACTTCCGAAAATGGTGCTAGGTTGGTGAAGATTTCTTTTGTTTTGAGAGCAATATCCTTCAACAGAACAAGAAAATAGGCAACAGTTTTTAGCATCCCAAACAGAAACCCATTATGCACGCTCCCCCCACAGAATGCTGGTGACTTCCATTTCACCTCTTCCTCTATGAACCTGCCTCGTCTAGGTACCTCATCAAAGTGGAATCATGCAATGGCTGGCATTCTGTCCGAATGTCCTCAAAGTTCATTCATGATCTAACATGTATCAGGACGTCAGTCTTTTCTGAGGCTAAGACTCCATCGTATGTATATAACACATTTTGTTTGTCCTTTCATCTGCTGCCTTGGACTTGGGCTGTTTCTATCCTCATCATAACTAATGCTGCTTGCAACACTGGAATACGGAAATCAGCTGGGGCCCCTGCTCTCACCTCACTCGGGTCTATACCTAGAAGTGGGACTGCTGGGTCACATGCTCATTCTATGCTGATTGTTTTTTGGACAAATTTCTTCCCAGGAGTTATCAACGCCCAGGATAAGAAACCCAGCACCTTGCACGTGGACTTGATTCCTGGCCACTGAGTAACTCTCATCCCGCAGCTGAGAACTCACTGGAGCTCACTTTACATCATAGCTTTTTCCTGGCTTGGTGACATCAACTCCTAACTCGAATAGTTTTGAACCCCTATAACATGCTGAGCACTTTCACTTTCTCTCCCTAAGGTCACATTCATTATACTGAATCATTTATGTGTCACTTACAGTCCATGAGAAATACTCCTAACCCAAAAATCCAAAATTCATATTTACACACTTCACCACCACCGTGAAGAATAAATGTCTTACTGTAATGATGGGAGACTATGCTGATTCACATTGCAAGAAAAGGTATCATCAGAGTGTCAGTGTTTGGGTCCTCAGGAGAAGATCATCCACTCTTCTCGTCACGGCTCAACAGTGCTGCTGGGCAGACCCTGCCAAACTGTGGCCACCTTATCGTTCTGCGCGTGTCACCCCTCAAAGAGCTGCCTCATCCTCGTCCTAATATTCCCCACCTCAGTTCCTTGTTTCCATCACAGCATTTATCACGGCTCACATATCTTGCAGTGTGTTACTTTGTGGGTTTGTTTTTTTTTTGGTACTGGGGAATTGAACTCTGGTCCTTGCACTTGCGAGGCAGGCACCGGAATCACTGAGCTAAATCCCCAGCCAGGTCTCTTACTTTGTACTCATCGGCTCCACTAAAACAGGCTTTGTGAGGGCAGGCACTTTGCTCGCCATGTACCCACGCTGTCCCCTGCTCCACGAGTACTGCTGAGTAAGAGTACGCAAGTGATGAAATGCGCCACATGGGACCAAGGAAGTTGAGCCGCTTCTCAGAGAGGCCCCCTTGGTGGCACAAAGGTGCAGATAAAGGACGACAGTCTTCTAGGTGCTCCAGCCCTGGGGTCTGAGATGGGTCTGGATGAGCAGGGTTGGGGAAGACTGGGCTGGGAATGGATCCTCAGGAGGGGAGCGGGCCAAATGCAAGGGGGCTGCAGACAGGAGGGAGACCATGGTCCAGGGGATGGGCGTTGGCATCAAATGGAAATAAATGCCATTTGTGATCTCAGTCCGGCCCAGTCAGGAGAGGGTGCAAACGGAGCTGGCTCTGCTGGGTGACAGCAGTCTGGATTTTATGGTTACTGCTGTCCTGGAAACACTACAGTAGAGCTAAATTAGGACCACCTGTCCCATTCTCTATGCTCAGCAGCAGCACTGCCTTTAAAATTTGTCCTTCCATGAAAATTCAAGGAGGATATGCTCTGGCTGGCCCAAAAAAGCACTCCAACTTTGTAGCAGTTGTGTCTCTCATGACCAACACCATCCCCAGAGCCCACTAACTGAGCAGGGCTCACGGCCATGCACCTGCTCACAGTGGCCGTGCCGCAGACCAGAGCCTGAGCACCTGCTGCTGGCGACCCCTACACGCAGCAGAGAGGCTCGCTGTGCCACAGGCTGCCCAGCGAGGCTGCCGTGGAGCCCTGCTGAGGCAGGTGAAGGAGTTACCTGTATAACCTGGCTGTCTGACTTATCGGGGTCTTCCGCCGACTGGACAATGAGCTGACCAATTTCTTTGTGGAGTTTGCCCATCGTCATGGACTCTGGTGAGAGAATGAGAAGTGTGCTGTGTGAATACTTAGAAGTTTACATAATAAAAAATAATCAGGAATCTAACTGAAAACCTGACTGTATTGAGAGAATTCTCAAAAAACGGATAATCCTGCACATTTCCATTTTATCATTAAACACGTGGTGACATGCTAAAAGGTGAGACACAATCACCATTTATATACTTCATGGCCCAAAGAAAACACATCAGTGCTAAGTCCAATTTGACTATCCCACCCATCTGAGAATTATTTCTCTTGGGCCAGGGATTTAGCTCAGTGGCTCTGCACCTGGTCCTGAGTTCGATCCCTGGTACCAAAAAAAAAAAAAAATTTCCTTTTTTCTTTTTCTTTTTCTTTTTCTTTTTTTTTTGTACTGGGGATCGAACTCCAACCCTTGTGCTTGCAATGCAGGTGCCAGAACCACTAAGCTAAATCCCTAGCCACCCCCCCTTTTTTTTTTTAAAGACAAGGTCTCGTATATAGTTCAAGCTAGCCTGGAACTCACTACAATACTCCTGCCTCAGCCTCCAAAGTGCTGGGATTACAATCTTGTGTCACCACACCCAGCTAAGAATTATTTTTCTTTCCAGACAAAAGTATCATAAAAATTCTGACTACAAATAAGCTATGACTTTAGGCAAGAGCCTGACTTTTTGTTTAAGTCTTTACAGCACAGTAGTACATATCTATGGTACCAGCAATTGGGAGGCTGAGGCAGGAGGATCTCTACAAATTTGAGGCCAGTCTGGGCTACAAAGTGAGTTCAAGGGCAGTATGAACTATATAGTGAGACCTTGTCTCCAAAAGCCAGAGAGGGGGGAGGGAGAGGGGGAGAGAGAGGGAGACAGGAAGGGAGAGAGAGAGAGCACATGAGCTCGCACACCCCCAGAGAGAAAGAGGGAGGGAGGGGGAGAGGAGAGACAGGAGAGAGGAGGGGAGGAGGGGAAGAGGGAAGAGGAGGAAGGAAGAGGAGGAGGAGGAAGAGGGAAGAGGAAGAAGAGGGGAAGGAGGGGGAGGGGAGGAGGACAGAGAGGCTCAGGCACGAAGATTGAAAATTCAAGCTCAATCTAGGCAATATAGATTTTTTTTTGCCGGAACCAGGGATTGAACCCAAGATCTTGCACTTGTGAGGCAGGCATGGTACCACTGAGCTAAATCCCTGGCCCTCAACCTAGGCAATTTAGCATTTTAGCAAGACCTTGTTTCAAAACACAGAAAGGGTAAAGGTCCTGGTTCAATCCCCTGTCCCTTCCCCTCCCCAAATATTTAAATAGTGTCTTTCTGCTGGGGATGTTTTGAGAGAAGCGCTTCCCATCAGTTCTGCAGAAGCCAGCTGAGCATTCAGTGTTAAGGCCCTAAGAAACAAGGAAAGGAGCAAAAAGGTTACACTAACTATATTTATAGCAGGTGCTACTGTCTGCAGCAAGGTTAACAGCAAGTTTTCCCTGTCGCCACAGGGTCAACTCCTTTTGAATGGCATTGAGTAGATGAATGCATTTCACAGACTCAGTGCAACCATGGCAACAGGGAGATGGCCCTGCTCTCTGGTCTTCACCAGACATGTAGTCAGCCACTGCTTGTTTTCTATTCCTTTGGCTTTACAAACGCGCCTCCTAAAGACTTGATTCTACAGTTTCAATTTTCCATATGAATGTGCATCATGTTTGAAGTTTTAAAACAATGAAAAATATTCTGGTTTTATTAATTTGAAGTCACTAGATAAAACTTCAGAGGAGCTGGGCATGGTGGTGCACACCTGAGGAGCATGAGGAAGGAGAACTACCTCAACTTTGAGGTCAGCCTGGGCTACATAGTGAGTTCAAAGCCAGCCTGAACTACATAGTGAGACCCTGTCTCAAGAAACAAAAAACAGAACAAAACAAACAAACAAAAATCATGTCACATGATCTGTCTACCTAACAAAGTTCCCTAACCAGCCAGCACTCAGCAGCCTTCGCCTTTAGGGAAGAGGTAAGCAACCACACAAAAGCTATTATCAGTAATCCCATCTGTACTGCTAACACTTCTAGATCTGCAGGGGTAAATGCTAGTGTTCAGAATCCAGACACCAAATATCCCTCCAGCTTCACAGCGAAGGCCTCAATGTCTGCTTTTAGAGCGAACCTAAAAAGCACAACTGCTTGGCTGACATCTCCATCCACAATGGAACAGAGAGAGAACCAACCTTTCACAAGTGGAGCAATGGTGATCTCGCTCTCTGCCAGGTTCACAAACACATCATAAAGATCCAGTCGATTGCTCACCTCCAGGTCTACAAACCCAGCGACATAGCCTGCGTTACAAAGACGACCAAATTACTGGAAAGGAAAAAAAAATCACACCACAAACACATCCAAAACAGTAAACAGGCGCTTTTCTTAGTGATTTTAGATGAGAACATTAGCTGTTCCCTGAGGCATTTATTAAGACTACATTAGAGCTTGGCCTAACATGCTGCACCACTCTCAGAGGCTGAGGCAGAAGGATCAAGCCTTGAAACCCAACCTGCGCAACTTAGCCGGACCCTGTCTCAAAATAAAATATGGGCTGGTGCTGGTGGTGCACACCTGTAATCCCAGCATTTGGGAAGCTGATGCAGGAAGATCACTGTGAGTTCAAAGCCAGCCTGAACTACATAATGAGTAGTTTTTTGTTCGTAAAAATAAAAAACCAGAAAACTCCAAAATGGACCAGGGATGTAGCTTACTGCAAGGGTCTGGGTTCAACTCCCTGTACCATACACAGAAAAAACCATAAAAATGACTGTACTGGGCTGCAAGTGTAGCTCAGCAGCACAGTACCTGCCTGGCAAGCACAAAGTCTTGAGTTCAATTCCTCGTACAAAAAAAAATAAAATTAGTTACCTGAAGAAATTCACAAAATGTTCCCCAATTTGACTTGAGTGTCAAGGGACAAGACTGCAGTCAAGCACTTACTCTGCAGTCACCCAGGGCAGGAATGGCAGAGGAGGCAGAAGGCAGCAGGGACTCATAATCCACGCTTCTCCTGCAGATCTGAAAGCTCCACTGCCTGGGCTCTCAGGAGTAACATGGAAAAAGACACCATCTTTCACTACCCAGATCCAATACAGTATGTGTGAAAGAAATTAGTAGGCTTCTGAAATCAGTCTTAAGACAAAGGAACCCATCATAGAGCCACATAACTACAAAATGCTGGGGGGCGTGGTGGTGATGCTGAGTTTATTGTTTTGAGGACCTACTTATTACTACTAAATATTTAATTTATCAAGTAAGGACATTTAAACTATAATATCAATAAAACCCAAACTGGTTATGGAAAGCCAGACCCAGAGCAAACTACATTAGAAAATGCAACACACAGCAAAACGATACCGCTGGTTACAGAGAAAGGAGGAAATTATTCAATGTCCTGAGCCAAGTAGTCATCCAAGCCAAATGAAAAAAAATAAATAAAGAGGGTTAGGGGTGGAGCTCAGTAGGACAGCCAGTGCTTAACACACGCAAGACCCTGGATTCATTCCCTGGTGCTAAAAGAAAGAAAGCAAAGAAAAAATTAGAGCCCAAACTCACACATTACACACAAAAAAATAACTCCAGGTAAATTAAAGAACTAAATGGGAAAAAAATTTGAATAAGAACATATAGAAGTGCCAGGTACTTCTATAATCCCAGCACTTAGGAGACTGAGGCAAGAGGATTGCTGTGAGTTCAAGGCCAGCCAGCTACAAAGAGAGACCCTGTCCCACCAAAAAGTAAATAAATAAAAGTGTAACATAAACAACATGCTGTTTAGAGACATATTTTTATTGTGTGGCCATGGAGAGGAGTGAACCCAATAAGAAATCAAAGGAAAAGATAAGCTCTGAGTAGGAAAACAGGTGGAATGAGACAGTAAGGCACATGAAGTGTACTTAAAAACACTAAAATGCTGGGCGTGGTGGCACACACCTGTAATCCCAGCACTCGGGAGGCTGAGGCAGGAGGATCGCTATGAGTTGGAGACCAGCCTGGGCTACATAGTGAGTTCCAGGGCAGTTTCAACTACACAGTGAGACCCTGTCTCAAAAAACAAAAACAACAACAAAAAAAAAAAACCCCAAAACACTAAAACATCTCATCTTTTCACCTGTCTGGGAGGTCCATAAGTATTTTTATTTTTTATAATTTGCACAATCATTATATATTGTTTTATATTTAAGAAATATTTCCTAATTTGAAAAGCAACAACAAAAGTCTACTATTTATTACCATCTTATTTTTTTAACCATCATTTTTTTTAATGAAAAGACCTTTTAACATTATAAAAACATAGGGACTTGGCCCAGGATGTATGTAGCTCAGTGGCACTGTGCCTGCCTGGCAAGCATAAGGTCCTGAGTTCAATCCCCAGGATGAAGAAAAAAAAAAGGGGACCAGGGATTTAACTCAATGGTGCCACTGCCTGTGTCTTTTAAGTGCAAGGTCCTGAGTTTGAGCCCTGGTTCCACCTCCCCAAAAAAAGAAAAAAATAGGGACATAATAATCTTAATTTTAAAAATAAATAAGCCTGGTGTGGTGGTATAGACCTGTAATCCCAGCACTCAGGAAGCTGAGGCAGGAGGATCACTGCAAGTTTGAGGCCAGTCTGGGCTAACACAAAACAAAACAAACAAGTAAATAAGTAAATAAATAGTACCACTAGAGAAATGAGATTCCTATAGATATAAGTAACAATGTATTATTAAATTATTTCCAGAATCTTTTTCTTTTTTAGAGATTCAATAAGTAAATAACATCATTTAAAAATAAGTAACTTTCCTTGAAAAATTATGGAAAGGCTCAAAATAATGTCTAAATATTCAAAATCAAATCACTGATAAGAAAACTTTTAAAACTAGAAGTTAGAGCCAGATGTGGTGATGTACACCTATAATTCTAGCATGCTGGGAAACTGAGGCAGAAGGATTACGAATTCAAACCCAGACTGGGAAACTTAGCAATTTAGTAAGACTCTCTCAAAAAAAATAAAGAAAGCTAGGGGCCGGGGACTTAGCTCAGAGGTTCAGTGGCCTGCCTTGCAAGTACAAGGACCCGAGTTCAATCCCTGGTACCAAAAAAAAAAAAAGAAAGCAAGCTATTATCTAGAATATATAAAGAACTCAAAACAATCAGCCCCCCAAATATAAAGACCCATTTCAAAAATGGGCATCTGAAATGAACAGACATTTCTCAGACAAAGAAGTAAAAACAGCAAGTAAATATATGAAAAAATGTTCCACATCACTGGTCATTCGAGAGATGCAGATGAAAACAACACTGAGATTCCACCTCACCCCACAAAGAATGGCTGCTATCAAGAATTCAAACAATTACAAATGTTGGCAGGGTTGTGGGGAGAAAGAAACCCTTCTCCATTGTTGGTGGGAATGCAGACTGGTGCAACCACTATGGAAATCAATATGGAGATACCTCAAAGAGCTCGGACTAGAGGTTCCATTTGACCTAGCCATCCCTCTGCTGGGTATCTTGCCAAAAGAATTAAAAGAATCATATCACAGAGATATATGTGCACCTATGTTTATAGCGGCACAGTTTGTAATAGCTAAAACTTGGAAACAGCCCATTTGCCCATCAGTTGGAAAATGGATAAAGAAGATATGGTTTTTCTATAAAATGGAATATTAGCCATAAAGAATGAGAAATTAGATTCATTCATAGGAAACTGGATACATATTGAGGATATACTCCTAAGTGAAATAAATAAATCACACATGTGTAAATACCGAATAGTTTCTCTGGTGTGAAGAACTATAATAGTACATAAGATCCTAATGATATAATGGACAGTGTGAAATAGGAAGAAAGGAGCTAAAGGTGTAGGGAAAGTGGGAAGGGTAGGGGAAAGCTAATAAGGGAAAAGAAAAAAATATGAGAAAATGAAGAAATGGAAATGAAGTGTTTGTAAAGGGGGAGGGAGGAGGGGTGAAGGGAGGGCAGGGACAAGGGGAAAAAATGAGAACCTGTCATGTAAAGGTACAAGATCCCAATAATGAATGTAAATGTACTGTGTACCTACAATGTACCAATAAACTCAATGAGGAAAAAAAAAAAGAATAACGCTGAGAAAAGGACCGAAAGAAAAAAATTAAAAGTTCAAATATCTGGAAAAAAAAAAAGAAAGCTCAGTGTGAAGGGCCCTAGGTTCAATCCCCAGCACCAGAAAGATGGACAATCACACATCAATAGAACGAACTTGGGGCTCGGGCTAAAGCTCAGTGGTAGAGTTTTTGCACAATATGCAAAAAAACCTGGGTTTAATCCCTAGCACCATGCCCCCAAAGGAAAAGGTTAGAAGTTTACAGGGTAACAAAAGAGAAATGCTCCTTTAAGCAAACCCTCTTCTAAGCAGTCTTTTCTCCCAGGATGCACCAGCTACCTGTGCACATCTGCAGGGCTTCCAGCTCATCAGCATGGAGATGCACGTAAGAATGCAGGATGGTCCAGTCCTGTCGATGCCATACCAGGGCAGGCAGGGTCCTGGGGAATCAAGGCAAGAGCTCAATCACATGGTTACTGGCCCACACTGCTTCATCTCTTTCCGAGGAGGAAATAAGAAGGGTACAGTCCCACAGCTAGGCGGTGGCAGAGGTGAGAACAGACGTGCTAACGCCTCCAGACTTGCATTAAAGCAATGCCCTGTTTTAATATCTGCTTTTTGGGTCAGAATGGCTACAGAACTCTCAAGGTGAAACTTCTAAAGATCTCCATGGCGACAAAGAGCGATGTTGCTAGAGTTTCCCTCTCTATATATTACTCTGCAGAGTGCTAGAGAGAGGGAGAGGGAGCCTGGGGCTTAAATCCAAAGTGTTCCTTGAAAGTAGGAAACTATCTGAGCCAGCTGGGCCACATGTCTTCACTTTCACCACTGTGAGAAGGTGAGACAACAGGACTGCAAATTCAAGTCTAGCCTGGGAATTTAGTGACTTAGTGAGACCCTATCTTAAATACAAAATATCGGGCTGGAGATTTAGCTCAGTGGTTCTACCGCCTGCCTCGCAAGTGTAAGGTCCCAAGTTCGATCCCCAGTACCAAAGGAAAACCCAAAACCAAAACAAAACAAAACATAAAATATCAAAGGACTACGAATATTGCTCAAAGCAAAGATCTGGGGTTTCATATAAAGTACTGGGGGAAAGAAAAAAACAAGAAAAAAGTTGTAGCAAAACAAGTACTGAAAAAAACAAAAACTTAATCCATACAATAGAAGTAGAAACTGGAAACAAACAAAGAAACAAACAAACAAGTACTGAAGGAAGATGTGCCAAATTCATCCATGGTTTCAGGAATCCCTGGGTGTCCTACGACATCACAAGCTATAGCTACCTCAGTTAAAGAAATATAAACATAGGGGAAAGGTAACAGGATAGAATAACAGTTTGAAATGGAAGAGGGCAGGGTGAAAATTCTGGCTGTCTCATATAAGAGGCAATTATAATCACAACAATAATTTCTAACGCACTAAGGGCAAGACACATGCTAAGCACACTACATAAATTATTTCCAGTCCTAGAAAAAATGTATTGAAAAAAGTATTGGGACCCTCATTTTGCAGATAAAGAAACAGAGACTCAGAAACATTCAGTATCTTTTATGTAGTCACAGAGCTAAGTCACCCTTCTAAAACTTTTTCATGTTTTTCAGTACTGAGGACTGAAACCCAGGGCCTCCGCGCTGAGCTACATCTCTAGTTCTTTTTTATTTTTTGAGACAGTGTATCCCTAAGTTGCTAAACTGCTCAGTCTGGGCTCCAACTCATGATACGCCTGCTTTGGCCCCCAGAGTAACTGGATTCCCGGTGAGCAACACCACACCTGGCTCCCTCCCAGGACTTTAACCAAGGTCTCTCTGACCACGACGCCTTTCCCCTTTTCATTATCTTACCACTTAGGGTCTGCAAGCCTCAATTTTCTCATTCATATAATAGGGTAATAATACTTTCTTACCAAGTTATCATGAGTCAGTTCAATAATTTAAAATATCTTACATAACGCCTGGCATGCACAAATGCTATCTCCTCTTGCTTTTAAAAAAGGAGCTATGGGGCCGGGGATTTAGCTCAGTGGTTCTACCACTTGCCTTGCAAGCACAAGGACCCAAGTTTGATCCCCAGCATCAAAAAAGTAAAATAAAATAAAATAAAAAAGGAGCTATGAACAAGTTAGATTTAATAAACAAAGAGCCAACCCTGTTTTTCTTATAATCGAGTCTGATAAAACTGAACAGAAGAGGCCGGGGATTTAGCTCACTGGTTCTGCCGCCTGCCTTGCAAGCACAATGACCCGAGTTCGATCCCCAATACCAAAAATAAACAAACAAACAAACAACAAAACAAAACAAAACCGAATAGAAGGGACAACTTAGTTAAAACAGAAATCAGCAAACCATGGCCTATGGGCCAACTGCCTGCCTTTGTAAATAAAGTTTTATTGACACAGTCAGCTCATTCATTTATACTCATCTATGTTTGTTTGTGTGCCACCCAGGCAGCTGAGTAGTTGGGATAGAGACTGTATGGCTCACAAGCCTAAAATATTTTCTCTCTGGCAAGAAAATGTTTGCTAACTCTGCATGCTCTAAAATAGTCCTATTTCTAAAGTGAAAAAACCATCTGCCCCAATTCAATGACCTTGAACCACTAGATTGAAACTGAAGCATTAGACCAAAATGGCACTTCATTGCCAGACTAATGCACTATCCTATTTATATCAAATGTGCAACACAACACATAGGAATCTAGAATTCCAAACTGCCAAGAAATTTTGCACTTTTTAATAATGAGGTACAATACCTGGTAAAAGCCTGGACAGCTTCTATTTTGGGGTGATAGACGACAACTCGTTTTTTCAGCATCAGTGCCATGTGTAATATAACAGTTTCCATTCCAAATTGAGATACAATGTCTTAAAGAAAGAGCATAATGTTATTGCATTAAACATCATAAAACATAACATAAAATATTTTTGTCAAAATGAATTGTCACAGGAATGCAAAATTATTTTTGATACAGAGAATGTGTTCGTCTTTTTTTCCCCTGGTACCAGGAATCAAACTTAGGACCTTGTGCTTGCTAGGCAAGCAGAGCACCACTGAGCTACATCCTGCCCCTCAGAGAATGTGTTTAGGCAAAAAGTAGTAGTACAGAAGCACCTCATTTGGTGGGTGGGCATAGATATCCAAATGCTGGATGCACAGATGAAGTGGAATAAATAAGATGAAGAAGCTATGTCTTTTAGTGTCATGAAAAAGTTCTAATTAAAAAAAGAAATGTTTGGGCCGGGCATGGTGGCGCACGCCTGTAATCCCAGCACTCGGGAAGCTGAGGCAGGAGGATCGCTGTGAGTTCAAGACCAGCCTGGTCTATATAGTGAACACCAGGAAAGTCTCAACTACATAGTGAGACCCTGTTTAAAAAAAAAAAAAAAAAAAAAGAAATGTTCACTAACTCCCTGCCCCATGACATTACTTCAGTCCTTTTCAGCTAGCTTGAAGAACACCGGACGCCTCAACAAGATGCTGAAACCAAAAGGACAACAGATCAAGAGCAGATGGGCAGGCACTGAGGGAGGCGGTGAAGAGGGCAGCCTCACCTTCAGGGTCCCTCTCTCCTCTCTCTCTCAAGGACCCCGAAGTCCCCTGGCTGCCTCTGCTGTTCTGTCCTTTCCAGCTAGTATCTGGATGAGGGACTCCAGCCAGAGGCTTGAGCTCTTTAGATGGAAGAGATAACCGCTAAGATCCAGGGAAAGAACAACTATAGAAGTCAGTAGAGACCCAAACCATGGTGAAAGAACTTCCCAGAGTAACAGAATATAGAAAGAATGCTCCCAAAATGTTTTCCTTTGACAGAATTCTAACTCAGTAAGGCAATATGGGAGTTAGAATACCCTCCTATATAGGAAAACAAGTACACAGATGAAAATAATGCATGGAAAGAGGGCACTAGTCTGGTGAGAGGTTGTCCTTGGCTCAGCATTTTGTTGTGGGCCTGAGTTTTTGCTTCTTTCTTTTTTACCTTTGATGGAGCCTGCAAGGTATGCCTTTCGAGCATCAAAATCCTTGCTAAGGAAGGAGCCATTTTCTTCACTCTGACATATCCCCTTTGTGAGAATTGCAATATAACTCTCCATCATTTTAACCGGGCTCCCATGCTTCAAGTACGCTCTGTAAGAAAGGACAAAAACGACTGCTTTAGCTTGGCATGAAGACAAGGAGATATGCAACAAGGCTAGCCAAGGGAACTTTCTAAAAAAACCTAAAGCCAACATGCTAACACATTTCTGAGTGCCTGAGTCTTTTTACAGCATATATTAGATCCCTAATTTAGTTAGAAATTCTATGTACTAGAACAACATGTCAGAGGGGCTGGGGATTTAGCTCAGTGGTTCTGCCACCTGCCTCATAAGCGCAAAGTCCAGAGTTCGATCCCTGGTACAAAACAAAACAAAACAACATGACAGATCTTAAACAGTTCTTTGAAGGCAGTTCTTTCCTTGTTATCTAGAGAACAGTGTGGTAGTATCCTATAGCAGGATTAACTATGGACTTTGGTTTTGCAGTGCTGGGGTTGAAGTCAGTGCCTTAAGCACACTAGATGACTGGTCTATTACTGAGCTACAACCCCCAGCCCAATCACGGTCTTTTGTGACCTCATTACTCTCAATAACATCACATTCTTATCTCTTTTTATGTCTCATGTTCACAACTGGTGTCCTTAGTCACACAACTCTGTTTTATTGCTGCAATTTCCTTTGACAAGAAAGGAGTTTTATGCATTGTTCACAGAGAAAGCAGTAATTATATGTAGAACCCATACTTATTATCAGAGCTCCCAGAGGTAGCTATATTTAGATAATTAAGAAATCCAAGCTCTTTAAGTTTCCAGTGATAAATGCACATTAGAGACATTTGTCATCAATTTAAGACTTCCAGAAAATGCTGACAGGAAACTGGCTACATTTATAGCCCACATGTGGAGTCAGTCACTTCCCCCTTGAAGTTTCTTCCAGTGAACAACTACAACTAAATTTGGCTTGAGAAACATGACTGGGGGCTCAGGGTGCAGCTCAATGACAAAGTGTATGTTTATCATGCAGGTGGCCCTGGGTTCAACCCTCAGCACCTCCTTCCTCCAAAAAAAAACCAGGCATGACTGGGTCCACTTGGGTCTTTCAGCAAACAATATGACAAAGGATGAGGAATAAAATAAAACTGACATTTAGAACAGATAATTTGAGAATTTATTGCAGACTGAGTAAAAAAAGGAAAAATCTTATTTTTAACAGATTACCTAATTTTGTCAATCATCAGTTTTGTTTTGGTTTTTTTGGTGGGGGTGGTTAACAAATTATTTCAACTGACAAATTCAGGAAAAAGAGGTAGAGAGGGCCAGGGGGTTAGCTCAGTGGTTCTGCCACCTGCCACGCAAGCACAAGGTCCTGAGTTCGATCCCTGGTACCAAAAGAAAGAGGTGGAGAACAATGAATAGTGGCCTTTCATATACAAAAACTCATAAACTAAAATACAAGCTTATTTATAGGGAGAAAGCCTCTCTGGTAGGATATAAAAGAGAGTACAGGGGTTATGTGTGGATGGGTAGGGAGAAAAAACTTTTGTATTATTGGTATATTTAATCATGTGCTTTATTTTTAACACCAAAGATACTGCCATTAACATTACAAAATATGAAAAAAATAAAAACTACACAGGAATGGACAAGACAAACATAAGAAAGTTGGTGGGGGGCCTGGGATTTAGCCCAGTGGTTTTGTTGCCTACCTCACAAGCCCAAGGTCCCAAGTTGGATCCCCAGTACCAAAAAAAAAAAAAAGGCAAAAACCAACTTTGTGGGATGAGATGACTTCCTACAATCCTGGACCACGAGAGATAAAACAGACAGAAGAATCCCTCAAAATTACTCTACAGAAGAACCACACAGGGCAATTCAGGACGTTGTTCAGATGGACACCCACAAGTTGCTGCACCTGACTGGACTGATTCTAAGTGTGCACAAAACTTGTGTAACTATTATGAGTTGAAAACGTAATACACTAATCTAAACAAACACACACACACACACACAGCTGGGTGTGGTAATGTTCACCTAAAATCCCAGCACTCTAGGAGGCTGATGTAGGACTGCAAGTTAGCCCAGCCTGGGCAACTTCATGACTTAGTAAGACCCTGTCTCAAAATAAAAAATAAAAAAGACCTGGGTATATTTGCTCTCATTCTTTTTGCTCTGGGATGGGAGAGGAGAATCCAAAATATTGCAATGCCATGGCACTGCAGAAGGTACAAACCTTCCAGGCTTCCTTATGGGGTCTGAAGTCACCTTACCTTCTAGACTCCAAGATATTCAGCCAAGTCATCCAACCCGATTCAACCAAATAAAATAGGAGACTAGTGTTTGTGCAAAAATATCACTCTGGTATTTTCATTCTTTCTCAGTAGTAATAATAACCTCCCTTTATGTCTATACCACACTGGAAGACACCTGTTTATATTCCACAGTGAGCCAATATACAATACCTGGAATTTATCTTGTAACAGAAAGAAGTCTTTCTTATTGTGGCTAGCTGCATAAACAGTAAAATCTCATTTGGTCAAAATACAATCTAATTGGAAACCCTTAGGTAATGAGGTTTTGTTTTGAAGGGTGTGTGTGTGTGTTTGTGTGTGTGTGTGTATTAGTGAGGGGATACAAGCATGAAAAACGTAAAAAGGTAACCATTTATTGGGCTTTTGTTATTTTAAAGTACCAGGGATTGAACCCAGAGCCTTTAATTTGCTAGGTAAGCACACTACCATTGAGCTACTACACATCCCCAGCCTATTTGCTGGACTTATAGTGGCAAAAAACAGAAACAATTCTCTTTACCTCCTCACAAAACTACTGGGTGACAGCCTAAGGGCCAGAGCTTATATATAATAGCTAGAATTACAATTGTACCTAGTGATAATATTAAATGATAATAATAACACTAAATCTAAAATCTTGTTAAAGCCTTTAAAAAAAAACTTGTTAAAGCCTTTATTATTAAAGAAAAAGCCAATATCCCTAATATATTTTCATTAAGTCCACTAGATATACTCCAAAATATGAGAGGTCAGGGCCAGGCATTTAGCTCAGTGGTTCCATCAGCTGCCTTGCAAGCATAAGGTCCCAAGGTCACAAGGTCCCCATACCAAACAAAACAAAACAAACAAACAAAGAAAAATATAAGAGGTGGACTGGTATATATATATTTTTCTGGATTTATTTTTTCCATTAAGTTTAGACTGGTATATTTTATTTTATTTATTTATTTATTTTTGGTTTTTTGAGACAGGGTCTCACTATGTAGTTGAGACTGACCTGAAACTCACTGTGTAGCCCAGGGGGGTCTCGAACTCACAGTGATCCTCCTGCCTCAGCCTCCTGAGTGTTGGGATTACAGGCATGCGCCACCACGCCCAGCCTAGACTAGTATAGTTTCAACAGCTGGGGCAAAACTAAAGGCATCTACTTGAATGATGACTAAACCTTCTGAATTTCCCAGCCCCTCAGCATTCCAGCTGAAAAATATTTTCCTATGCTTTAACCTAATTCAAAATGTCTAAGGGGCTGAGGATCTGGCTCAGTGGTTCTGCCGCCTGCCTTGCAAGCATAAGGGCCCAAGTTCGAGCTCCGGTACCAAAAAAAGAAAAAAAAAAAAAAAGATACAAAATGTCTATTAACTTTCCTCAAAATAATCATCTCACATAAACCTGAACACATATGAACCAAATTACCACTTCACAAGGCACTTAACTTGCCCACCTGCTAAGGAAACTCCAGGACTAGAAGTGGGGAGAAATAAGACGCCCAAAGTGCCAAGCGTGCAAACTGCTTCCCCAAGCCCATTGCCACAAATTACAGGAGAAATCAATAAAGCAGAAGGGAAAGTACTCTACAAAACAGCTTCTGCAGGGCTACTCTAGATTAAGTCAGGGAAACAGAGGGTTGATATTTTGCTTCCTCATATAGAAATCTGCTGTGTAACTACTGAAGGAGATCTCCATTTTGGTATATTAGCATTTAACACAATTTTCATACAGACCTACACAATATCCTAGTGAAGGCGGCATATTTCTCTGGGTTAAAATCTTTGGCGGTCAGAACAATAGAAAAATGAGTCACCTGTCCAAAGAAACAAAAGAAGTACACTTTAAAAAGATATTTTAATAGAAGTTAATACATATTTTAATGAAATAATTTTATTTCTCTATTCTACCAACCCTCTAGTACAATGCCAGCATTAAAAGGAAAAGACCAAGGGACTGAACTCGGGTCCTTGTGCTTGCAAGACAGGAAGTGGAACCACTGAGCTAAATCCCTGGCCCAAGGCCAAAATTTTAAAAGTCTTCTTTGCTTCACCATAATTTTATTTGTATTGTATTTATGTGTGCATATATTATTATACATACATTTATTTCCCACATAAGAGTAGTTTTAGAAAAATTTTTTTCAAAAATATTTCATTAAAATATCAAAAATAGGTTCCTATTGAACATACCCTAAACTGACCAAAACAGAAGTACAATGCTAAATCAGACCTAGCAATTAGCAACTCTTTTCATGAATGAGTTAAAAGGATGGAAAACAAAACACATCTCAGTACAATGAAGTAATTCTGTAGAGTGGTCCAATCTAAAGACTACTACTATCCCTGAGTTCAATCCCCAGTACAAAAAAATTTATTTACATTCTTCTATTACTGAAAATACAAATTTTGGATGGTCATAACCCTGATATTTCCATTAATGAGACCAAATTTAGAACTTTATAAAATGCAAAGCATTGAAGAAATACATTTTTTAAAAATCATATTTTGAAGTACAAAACTAATTTTTCTGTTTTCAAATCTGAAAACCAGATGTGATACTGACACTGCTGTAATGTGGCAATCTGGAATGAAAAACACGGAATGAATCCAGTTGAGGCTGCATCAAGACTTCTCAGGGTCGAGTGTGGTTGCACTCGCCTGTAATCCAGCATTCTGGGACACTGAGGCAGAAGGATCTCAACTCTGGGCCTGGCTTAAGCAACTTAGTGAACCTGGCTCAAAACAAAAAATGAACAGAAAAAGGAGGGGAGAGGGCTGAGAATGCATCTCAGCATGAAATTCCTAGGTTCAGTCCTCAGTACCAAGGAGGAAAAAGCCATGCTGCATAAAGTATCATTATGATCAAAATATTAACCCTGAAAAGGGAAAAAAAGTCTCCCCACTTTTTGCCAGAGGCTCAGCCACTTTGCTCCAATCCTCTTTTCTTTGTAAAAATCTGCCTACTTGGGGTCAAGAAAGTTCATGACAGTCACACAAGTTTTCTCGCATTGATACTATTCATATCAATAAAATACCATTAAAGCCTACTTAATTTCCTTAATTATACCTCTAAATTTTTTTTTTTTTTTTTTGGTATGAGGATTGAACTCAGGTATCTGTGGCTTTCAAGGCAGGTGGCAGAAACAGTGAGCTAAATCCCCAGCTCACATCTCTAAATTTTTAACATATCTTTATCATCCACAAGCAAATGAAAAAAAAAAAAAAAAACCCAAAATTTCTTATTCTGTGCCAAGATTATATCCTCTGAAATAGTTTTTAATGGTGGAAAAATGCTTCTTTCCACTTTTTTTTTTTGGTTTCATGAGACAAGGTTTCACTATGTAGCTCAGGCTGGCCTCGAACTCATGGTAATCCTCCTACCTCAGAGTCTTGAGTGTTGGGGTAAGAGGCATGTGTCACCACCCCTAGCTGCTTCTTTCCACTTTTAATCAAAGCCATGGCTTTGAAACTACATTTCTACTCCTTCAGACTATAACTTGACAAAGGGAAAAGACCCCTGTATTGCTTACTACTCTACCAACCATAATAATTATGTGGGTGGGGATATTGAGGGATTGAACCCAAGGGCACTCTGCCACTGAGCTATCCCCCCTCCCTTTTTTATTTTATTTTTGATACAGGATCTCACTAAGTTGCCTGGGCTGGCCTCAAACAAATCCCAGTGGCCAGGATTATGGATATAGGCTACCATGTTCAGCCATGATAGATATTTCTGTGTAAAGGAAAACATTCCTAGTGAACATAATAGTTAATATTTTCAAATGCATTCTGTGATAAAGCTAAGAGTTACTGAAATAATCAAACTTTTTTTTTTTTTAACTTTAAGCAGTCATACCTTTTTCAAAACTGAAGAATCTGGAACTTCAACTGTTGTGATATAAAACCACGTTCTTCTGTACTGGCCAAACACAAAGGGATGGAGAGGTGTGTTTTCATCTGTAAGGCAGCATTTTCTGAGCAGCAGATTCCTCAGTGCAGCTGTCGTGGAAGGATAACACCACACCCACAGTACTTCTCCATTTGTGTCCTTTTCTATGGTGGAAAGATGGTCACTGAGAATGTCAAACAGCAGCAAGGAAGTGAATTGATTGGTTACTTAGAAGCACTTAGTGGAATCAGTTTTAATATCTCATTTTACAAAGCAACCAACAGAAGTTGAGACCCCGAACCCCAGTGAATTCATGATTTTGAACATTAGGCCACCTGAATAAAAAAGCTTTTTATGACAAGCCATGAATGAAAATCTATTTGTGTAAATGTATTAGTATATGTATTATTAGTAATTTATAATATGATTATATTCATCACAGGGAGTTGGTATATGCACATTAACACATCTTAATTCTTTTTAAATCCCCTTTCCCTGTTCCCCATTCTGTTGAACCCCTTCCTATTTTCAAAAGATCTTTTTCCATTATCTCTCTTTCTTTTTTTTTTTTTTTTTTTTTTTGGTACCGGGGATCAAACTCTGGTCCTTGTGCTTTCAAGGCAGGTGGCGGCACCACAGAACTAAATCCCCGGCCCTCCATTATCTTTTATTTTATATTTTACCTTGGGTTTCTCATATAAGAGAAACCATACAATATTTAAGCTTCTAAGTCTCATTTATTTCACTAAACATTAGAGTGGGTTTTTTTTGTTTTTGTTTTTGTTTTTTTGGAACCAGGGATCAAACTCGAGACCTTGCACTTGCAAGGCAGGTAGTAGAATCACTGAGCTAAATCCCCAGCCCAACATTAGAGTCTTAAGGTGTACCCATTTCCTCCCTACTGACTCAAATTTTTACTTCTTTATGGCCGAGTAGTACTCCACTGAGTATAAATATAACATTTTTTTCATCCTTTCATGTGTTGATGAAAATACAGGATGCTTCCAAGATTTAGCAATTATGAACTGTGCTGCTATAAACATGGGTATGCATGGATCACTGTAATATGATGTTTTTAATTCTTTTGGGAAGATACCTAGAAGGAAAACAGCTGGGTTAAATGGAATTCCTATTTTTAGTTTTTGAAGAATATCCATATTGATATTCATAGTGGTGGTAATAGTTTAGATTCCCACCAGCAACGTAGTAAAAGGCGAAAGATTTATACAATTTGAAAAGAAGCCAGAGTATCCCCACCAACAACATAGAAGGGTTCCTTTTTCCATGCAGCCTTGCCAGCCATGAGTGAAAATTTAGCCTTAGACATCTGGTACAGCTCCTCCCTATCTCCTACCCTACACATGCTTATCCGTTTATAATTACATTAAGTTTTTATTTAGTTGGAAGAATCTAATATAGAATTCTATATAGAAAAGGTTTGCTTAAGAAAAAAAAAAAGAGGGGCCAGGTGTGGTGGCACACGCCTGTAATCCCAGCAGTGAGAGGCTGAGGTGGGGGGGTGGCCATGGGTGCCAAAGGGAGGACCTGCCTCAAAAAATCAAGAGAGAGAGGGAGGGAGGGAGAGGGGGAGAGGAGGAGGGGGTAGAGGGGGAGAGAGAGAGACAGACAGACAAAGAAAAGACTGGGGATGTAGGACAGTGGTACAGCCCTTGCTAACAGATCCTGGGTTCCATCCACAGCATTACAAACAAAAGTTTGTTAAAAACCAAAAATGAAGATGGTGTCATTTCTTTTGAATCACGTTACAAATCAATTGTACAAATTAGGTATTTAAAAATTTATTTGGTGCTGCCAGGGATGGAACCAAGTCTTCAGATGGATCAGGCAAGCTCTATCACTGAATTACATCCCTATCTCCTAAAAAGATTTTAAAAATAAAGATAAAGATGGGTTGGGGATTTTGTTCAGTGGTTCCACTGCTGGCCTCTCAAGCACAAGGACTTGAATTCGACCCCCAGTAAA